GGGAAGAGAAGCGCATAGCTGATACCTTACAATTCCTGATATAGACTCTGAACGTGTTTTTTGATGGTATGAACTCCGGGGTTGTCTCTGTCTTCGTTGAAGATTGTCTTCGCTAGTATGCATGCGTCTCCTTCGGTATTTTGGTCGAATCGCACGCCTTGCATGGACCATACCACGTCCTGTTGCCCTCAATCGTAGTCGCGCCTGTTAGCTATTCCACCCAGCACGCCATACTACTGGAAACCCCAACCCCATGGCGATGTAACGTCACGTCTTGTGCATGTGTCGTTATGAGGCGAGTCAACGCGTTACCCTTTGCTTTTCGGGGTGTGTGTGTGTGCGTGGGGGCTCAGGAGCTAGAGGGAGAGAGTGATGTCGTCAAGTCGGGGAAGCTCTCGGCGCTGCAGCTGGAGGCTATCGCGTACGCGTGTCAGGCTCACGAGACTCGACTCCCGGACGGCAGTCGCGCAGGCTTCTTCATCGGAGACGGGGCGGGGGTAAGCCACCGCGTTGTTGTTGTTGTTGTTGTTGTGGTTGTTATTATTTATCTTCACACATTTGTATCCGTTCTGATTTCTGCTCAATAAGCGCCTCCTGTCTGAAGCTACCGTCGTCAAGTTCATGTGTCGGTGTCTTCTTTCAAGCTGCCGCGACGGTGTGCGCGTGATCGAACGTGTAACTTGGCCATCTGATAGTGTCCGTCTTGCCGCCCACTGCCACTGCTGCTTCTCTGCTGCTACTGCTGCCGCTGCTGCTACTGCTGCTGGTGGTGGTGGTTCTATGCCGCTCCCTACCGCTGCTGCTGCTGCTGCTGCTGCTGCTGCTGCTGCTGCTGCTGCTGCTGTTCGTGCTGCTGCCGACGCTGCGAGAGAAGGTGGGCAAGGGCCGGCAGCTGGCGGGGATCATGCTCGAGAACTTCCTCCACGGAAGGCGGAAGCACGTCTGGATCAGTGTGGGCAACGACCTGGCGTTCGACGCCCGCCGGGACCTGGATGATCTAGGCTGCGGCAAGCCGGACGAAGACGACGACGACAACCGCAGCGAGGGAGAGGAGGAGGAGGAAGTCGACTCGGACGAATCATCGGAGGAGGAGGAGGATGAGGGGGAGGGGGAGGGGGAGAAGAAGAGGAGCGGGGGGGATGCGGGGCGGCAGCGTAAGGTGCCGTCATCTTCCGGGAGGGTGCGGCGCGGAGCCGCTGTGGCTGCCGACGCGAAGCTCGGCAACAAGAACAGCGAGGAGCCGAAGAAGAAAAGCGGCGGCGAGAAGAACGCCAGGGGGAAGGAGGAGGCGGGGAGCGGCGGTGGTAGGGGTGGCGTGTTCATCGAGAGCTTTCAGCAGAACAAGCACGCGTACGGGACGATCAGGGACGGGGACGGGGTGATGTTCCTGACCTACAGCTCGTTGGTCGCGGCCAACCGGGATGGAAAGTCTCGCCTGAAGCAGGTGTGGTGCTCTTGGCGGTTTTGTAAGGAAGACTCCTTTGCAAGGGCAGCGGGCACGGCGGGCTGTTGTTGTTGCTATTGGTGTTGGTGCTGGTGGTGATGCTGCTGCTGGGGGTGCTGGCCGTCGTGTCTCAATCGTTGTCGTTGCGGCTGCTGAAATTATCGTTGTCGTTGCTTCCCGCCGCTGTTGCGCTCTTCGTTTTGCCATGTCCTCCGTGGCGCGGCCGATCAGCTGCTCAAGTGGTGCGGCGGAAAGGACTTCGACGGCTGCATCTTGTTGGACGAGTGCCATCGAGCCAAGAACCTCTATGCCGCCGGAGGCGGCGCGGCCACTAAGGCAGGAGCGGCGGTGGTGGAGCTGCAGGCCAAGCTGCCAAACGCGAGGTATGTGTGGCGGTGGCCCCGCGCTTCGCTGCTCGTGCTGCCGTTGTTTTGGTTGTGTTTTTCAGCAGCACGTCGTGCCCGGCCGTCGCTGGACCAAACGGGTTGTCGTTGCTTAAAAATCTAAGCAGGAGGAGTAGGGAGCTTCTTCAACCCACCCACTCGCCTGTGTGTGTTACTTGGTGATTGCTTACCGCGACGTTGTTTGACCTCGCCGTTGCTGTGCGCAAGGGTTCTTTGACGCCTAGTGAGAGCGTGCAACCCATGGACCCCGCACCCCCACCCCCCCATACCCCAGCAGTTTAATTGCCACTCCTTTTTTCTGTGTGATAACTCACTCGTCTCGCACGACAACGGCCCGAGCCCTGCCCCCCCCCCCCCCCCCCCCCCCCCCCCCCCCCCCCCCCCCCCCCCC